ATCAATTGCTCTGTCACTCTGGTCTTTTTCTATAAATATTCAGGGAAATAAATACAAGCCAATGTTTAAGGTATGCTTTTATTATTCAATAATAGCCACAATGAACCGAAAAGACAAAATGTTACTCAAACTCCATTAACTCATTAGGTTAAGGTTCTGTTTCAACACTGGGAAGACTGTTGAGGCACTTAATGTCATGTTACTTTTCTCTCTCTCTCTCTCTCTCTCTCTCTCTCTCTCTCTCATATGATTATATAATTTTCAGAACTGAGACTAGAATGCATCTACACATTCCCTCCTCATTGTAGACATTGACTTTTCAGTAAAACTGAAAGTTAAAGGCAAAATTTAACATAAATTTTCAGTTTCCTGAAATTTTGTGATTTACAAAGCTCTCATGTTCTTTTAAATTTCCTCCATAAATCATCATCTTTCAAATGTTGTTAATAAATATCATGGCAGTCTTTGATTTTTGTAGAACCTTTGCATTTTTTGGTATTGGCTACCTTAATATAGCCTCATAATGTACTTACATAAGAAAAGCCACTGACATTGTTCATTAATTTTCATACTTTCTCTTCAATTTTGATCTTATCCAAACTCGATAAATCACAGATGTATAGTTAGTACTTTATATGCTTTATCAGAAAGGAATATCCCCTTCTAACCTTAAAAATTTCCTGTCCCCCTCCTCCCCAAAAAGTGTGAAGGAAAACATAGGAATACGGGTAATTCAAGATGGGATCACGGGATGGACTGGTTATGAGGTGGATGCTTTTGTTTGGGAACAAGACTTTCTTCTGTAGGAGTAGAACTGCAGCTAAGCTAATTATTCGTTGCAAATGTCATGAGAGATGATGTTTGCCAGACTGTAAAGCTGCCAGTCGACTCTGGCTCTGATTCTATGATGGTGACACAAGCTTATGGTTCTTCAGTTGAAAAACTAATTTGGGATTTTCAGTCTGTTTACTTTAGTTCAATGTAGGAGCTTTCTGCTTTAGATTTTTAAAGCTTGAGTGTTTGTGATTTATGTCCTCCTACTTCTAAAATGGATAAAGCATTTTAGCAAAGTCAAACACATAAAGTAGAACATTTTCTGATACATACAAATAAAAATTTAAATTCCAGTACATAAACTACTTAAAAACACTTAAATTTGGCTGGGCGTGGTGGTGCAGTCCTTTAATCATAGCACTGAGAAGGCAGAGGCAGGCAGATATCTGTAAGATTGACCCCAGCCTGGTACATAGCCAGTGTCAGGGAAACCTGAAAAAACACATTTAAATCCACTAAATTTAAATAATTTTTGTTCCTGACAATAGCTCGAATATCACCAAGATAACAGGATTTTATGAAATGCTTATTTGAAAATGTCTTTGTGTGTATCTGCATATATAGGATAATTTTAGAAAATGCAAAATCACTGATGCCAATTAACGTGTTTGTACATGTACATACATGTGAGTATGTGATTGTGTTTTCATGTGTATATGTGTGTACATGTGAGTAGGGCTACAGGCCAACCTCGGGTGTCCTTCCTCAAGAGACTCACATTTTACTTTATGAGACAAATTCTTTTGATGTCAAGCCTAATGAAATATTAAGGAAAATGTAGATTTTAATCCCTCTGGCTCTGTCAGCTGACATGTTTGTGATTAGAACACTAACACAGGTAGCTAGAACCACTGGTCTTGTGTCCTGACAAAATTTTCTCAATTCTCTTTGTCTCAGCTGGAGACTTCTGCAAGGATTTTCAAACAGAGGATTTTTTTAACACTTGTTTTCTTTCTAAATTTATAATAATTTGTCTAGTTTTGAGACTTTACTGATAATATGTGTCTTTCTTCCTACTTTACTGATAATATGTGTCTTTCTTCCTGTAACCTGATGCTTACCGTATAAATGATGTGAGCTATTTCCTTTTGGAGTCCAGATTTTGAGGCTTGAGGCCACTGGACCAGGCTGCATCCTAAATAAAAATACCTGACTCCTGGACACTCCCAGTATCTTACGTGACCATTCCCACTACACTTTCACTAGGACCTGGGGCTCATTGACTGATTAATGTAGCTGGCCAATAATTCCCAGGGATCCTCCTGCCTCCACCCATCCAGTACCGGGATTACAAATGCAAACTACAAAGTCTAGTTACCGGTGGGTTCTGGGAATTAAACTCATGTCCTCAGGCTTATGTGGCAAGCACTAGACAGAATGGTCTAAGGAGAGTTACAACATTCCATCCTGGAGAGGTTCGTTTAGCTCAGGAAGTAAGCAGCTCAGTAGATTCAGGCAGTCTCTGAACCTGACAAGATTCACTAGTGCTCTTCTGCAAGCATATTAAACTCTAAGGACTGCTGAGAGAGATTATCAGGCCAGCTGAGCTGCCTAGAAGCTCTGACCAGCCGAAACACCTGGAATAAGCAGAGACTGGTGGAGCTTCCTGGAAGAGTGTCAGCCTACCAGAGCTATTTGGAAAGGACACTCCAACTTTCAGAGTTACTTGCAAATTGTTCACTGTGCTCCAGGGTTCCAGCTTTTGTGAGCTGTTGCCCAGGCTGAGGTGCACTTTTGGTGATACCACTGTCTTTGAGTCGTTTCTACTCCTGTAAATAACCCTGAGCAATATTCCCATAAGAAACACCAGTAAAACTCATTGGCTCATCAAGTTCAATTTGGGAGGTGTCCTTATTTAGGTCTGTTGTTGTTTTCCTATCTGAGGTGAGACAACTGTTCACACCTCCCCAGGAATAGTGTCACACACACACACTGACTTATCTCCTCAACCCCTAAAAATCTCCTTTCTTATTTCTTTTTCTCTATGAAAAAGTAAAAATAAGATATTTTTCCATTCTAAATATGTTTTCTATTTTTTATATTTCTTTATAGTTTGGACAGATTAATAAAACAGTAATTTATATATTGGTGCTTTGTCCATTTAATAGTGAGTTAATCATTTTAAAAATTCAACAGAAGCTTTTGCAATTGAATGCAGTTAATGACATAATTCAGGAACATTTTATACCTGATACATATTTTTACCTAATGATGCAGTTACATCTTCTATTTCTCTTAAATAAAGAACCATACCAAGCAAAACAACAGAAATTAGCATCACAAGTTTAATTTTTTAAATATAGAAACAAATTTAAGCAACACATTTAAAGAATAATAGATTCCTAGGTCTTGTTCTCTCAATAGTACACTATTAACTAAAAATATATTACTTAATGTACCCCCAATATAGGCAATGCAATATTTTTATAAGATAAACTGTACTTTAAAGGAACATTGCAATATATCTGAATTACAAACAAGCCAAAAGATTCTTTTTTAAAAAAAAACAAAAAACAAAAAAAAAACAGGGTCTCCATAGTCCCATCCTGCCTAGAAATCACTATGTGGACCAGACTGGCCTTGATCTCACAGAGATGCACTTGCTTCTGCCTTCTGGAGACTGGGATTAAAGGAGCTCGCCACCATGCCTGCTCGAGTCAGAAGATTTTGAAATGATTAATGATATAATTGTGTTTGAAAGAAGGGTGATTAAGAAACGATGCTTTATGAGTATTTTCAGTCAACCGTTATATGCCTAACCATGGAGCCAACATAAGTACCAAGTTAGCAAGCTAAAGTCTATGCTTTAAAAAACAGGTGTGCATTGAATTAAGTCCGTAGTAACTATTCCAACAGAAAGATAAAATAAATTAATATCAGAGGGAGGAACACTCACACACACACAGACACACACACTCACACACAGACACACGCACACATACACACACTCACACACAGACACACACACACACTCACACTCACACACACAAACACTCACACACAGACACACGCACACATACACACACACTCACACACAGACACACACACACACTCACACACATACACACACTCACACACAGACACACACACACACACTCACACTCACACACACACACACACAGACACACGCACACATACACACACACTCACACACAGACACACATACACACACACACACACACACACACACAGTTCAGAACATTCTGCCTGGAGGAAGGTTTTCAAAATCAGGTTTTCGCTGAGCTTATTCTTAAGGTTATGAAAAATGGAATTCAGCTATTTCAAAATGTCAATTCTGCCGAAGTTTTTCTGTGATTTTTGGAAATTTCCTCCAGTTTTCAATGCTTTGACCCTAAATAAAATCCCTCGCATCACCTAAATCAGCAAAGTCATTTATGAAGGCAAGCAAAAAAAAAAAACTGTTGGCATTTCAGCTCCAGAAATTTTGCGCATGCAGTGACTCTTGTGTGTAAGGAGAGAGTGGAGCACACCCAAATACTGTTTCAAATATGAGGAAAAAAAAGCTGCAGCAGTAGTGTTCTAGATCATAGACAGACAATTTATTTGAGGTAAGAAGGTTGTATGTACTGCACTTTTTCATTTTAGTGTGAACTTGGAACTTGGAAACGTGAAGACATAGGCTCAAGCTTGTCTCTACACAATTTCTGAAGCTTTGATCTTGCAAAAATCAGCTGCACACAGTCTTTCAGCTTCTGTGCTCTGCCTATTTATTCAAATCCAGTTCATTCCATTTTATCTAAAGAGCCATAAATCTTAAGAGTAAAACTGTGTTTAACCAAACTTTTTTTTTAATTGGGTTTGTTAACTTTTAAAAGTTTATTTCTAAGTATTCTCTTAGTCTTCATTGGCACAATATAATCAAATATGCATTTCCTCCAGCAATATTAAACTGTCAAAAATGCTCTTTTTAATTGTAGAAAATTCTTTTAAAATTGTGTAGGATAAAAGTGTTTAAATAGAATTAAATTGGACTCAACATAAACCACTGAAAGTTATTATTATATAATATAATGACCTATAAAATATATTTTACTGATAAGGCATCTAAAAAAACAGAATACATATCTTTAAATAAATAAAGTGTATATATGTGTATATATATATATTATATCATACATAGAAAGAGATGAAATGACCCAGACTAATTTTAGGAAATTCCCCATTTACTTTCTTTATATGGCAGACACAAACCTAATACAGTTCTTTGTTATTATTACCACAGTTACATAGTATTAGTGGCACCCACACGAACGCACTACCATATTTCTGTATTTTTTCAAAATCACATTGGAGCTGTCATCAAAATACAAAACAGAGATGGCATTTAATTTGGTTGGAGCACAGCAGGGCTTTGGGACATGATCAGGAAACATCAGGTGAACCTGGGGGAAAATAAAAGGAAAACATATCTTTTGGAGAAATATGACAAATGCTTCATTTACAGCTTTAAAGACAATATCATTCTCAATCACCTGTACCCTTTTATTCATGTTCTATGATGACAGCTGGGGCTGTTAGTGAGGATACAGTCTCACGTGTTAAACACTAAGAACTACCAATTCTATATAAGTGTAGGGACTCTCAACACAGTTCACCCAATAAGGCAAACTCTCTATGGAATATGCAATGGAACATTTTCTGATGAAAAAACATAACACTTAGCACTGAGTTGCTTTTGGTTGAAATTGTATTTTTGATTTGCATTATGAGAATTACAGAAGTTATGAGTGCAAGTCAAGATATAGTTGAACAAAAAAAGCTTTATATCTATGGTTATTTTTGATAGGATAATTATACAATAAGTCACAAATGTTACACTAACTTTTATTTTTTCAGAGGAAAGGTAAGCTAAAAATCGCAATGAAATAAAATACAGATATAATTTAGTACTGGTTTTAAATTATGATTTCAACTTTTCTCCATAGAAATTTTTCCAGCTGACTGAAGTTTAATATCATTTTCCTTTCCCTAGCCACTCATTAGAATACTGCCAAGCTTAGCTAGCGAAACTAAATCAGAAGCAAGGGGTAGAGACTTCGCAAATCGTGTTCCATCCCATTAAAACACTGAAAACAGGCCGAGTCATACATGAAAAGTGAAATGGTTAAATAAAGGATTGGTGATCATTTCAATCAGACTGGCAATTTGCTTGAGTCACAATAATTGAATGAGGAACCAGAATATGGTTCCTCTCCCCTGAGCCCACCCTGGTGCTTCCCCTAAAGGAGTTTATGGGAAGTCCAGTTGATGAGTCTTAAGGGATCTATAAAAAGTAAATACAGCCGCTTAGAGTTTTGGCTTTACGATATCCTGGCTGAACTGATACAGGAGGCCTTCTTGTGAACAGAAACAGCAGAACAAATGAGGTGATCAGACATGAACTTGAAATTTCCTAAGACCCCACAAAACTAAAAACTGGATGCTTTTTGCAAATTTGAGATGAAGCTTGTGGCCCTCTCCAGCTTCCTCTTCTGTACCCCTCATACGCATGACCGATAACCCCCAGCTTTCAGTGGCCTCAGCAGCCTCACTAAGCAGCCACTCAAAACAAAACAAATTGTTTCTGAATGAGTCTTCAAATGTATTAGTCACAAACATTTATCTTTAACAAAAAGCATGCTTGTCTTCTTATTTCATGTCCTTCACAGGATAAACGTTACAAAAAAAGTTCACAGTACTAGAAAATCTAAAATCAAACTTGCTATATATGGTTGAGTTCTGCGATGACTGTCTTTCCAGGGCTGTGAGTGACACAGGGTTCCCATCTTCCAACTTCACATCAGGATTTTGTTTGGTTTTTAAAAATATTTCTATACTGCAGCCATAAGAACTAATAATATGTGCTTGTATATTTATAAGAAACAGGGAAGTAAACAAGGAAAGAAGAATATTTGACAAGGGACTTTTCCCCGAATGTGTAAGTAAGCACTGGTTGGTCTGAGGGAGCTTTAATGCATTAGATACATATTTAAAGAAGCAAAATTCTGCCTTTTTTGTCAGATATTTCTTGCAAACAAAAACAGACCCAAGTTTTTTTGAGAAATTAAATGGCATTATTTTACAAGCAAATAATAGCTGTTACTCTCTGTGGCCATGTATAGTGATCATGACTGTCTTTTCTAGAGATAAAACAACAAAATCCTTTTCTTCTATGAATAGACATCCTTGTAGAGTCTATATGCTCCCCATTGCCCAAGAATACCGTCCCATTTTAAGAACTATTTATGAGGTGACAGCATATCTCACCTTAAATTTCTCAAGTATTTAATTTATACCTTGCATATGCCAGTAAGGTAGGCAAGTTCATGAGAATAACATTTTATACATGGCTCCTTACTGAAATGCATGTTTACTTTCTTTTCCTCTCCACAATGTCACTTTTGTAATGTTTCATAAAACCCATGCTTGCCCACTGTAGATGTGTACATTATGCCCAGAACTTCTCTACAAACTTGTAAATCAAGGATGATCCCAGGAAAACCTGTAGGCATACAAGTACTTGATATGTTTGTTTATAAATATGAGTCCTTATTCAGAAATTAGCCTACTCTTTCCATTAGCATTGGAGTATAAATTAATTGAGAATAAAAAAGGTAAATTTTCAAGGTTAAGTACAAATTCTAAGAGTGCTATACTGGGGCAGAGGTGCCCTAACTATGTCTCACTCAAGAGAAATGATTTTCTAACATTTGCTACTATCTTACCACCATCAAGGAAGCAGCTCCATTTCTGTCATTGCACTGTGATTCTAAAACTGTGTTCCCTACTTTTTCTTCTAGATATATAAACCACCATTTTCACAATTACCCAAACATTAAGTCATATTGATATCACATGGACTAGTGTAACTTCTAGGAGTCTCTTATTTTCCAGCGATTATCTCTCTGCCATAGTAATGTGTCTCCAGAAGTCTAGTACATTCATTAGGTATAGTATAATTGAGATAACTGAGCCAACATTTTACTATCTTGTCCACAAATACATGCTTAGATTGCTAGAAATTTAATCGCTGTTAAATTCCTAGAAGTGTAGAAGTAGGAACAAGAAATATTTTACTTTAAAACACAGTACTTGAAACTCTTGCAAGAGCAATAAGACAAGAGAAGGAAATTAAAGGAGTAATAATTGGAAAAGAAGAGATCAGATGATATGATATCTAAGGGACACCAAAAATTCCACCTGAAAACTCCTAGAAATTTATTAACACGTTCAGTAAAGTGGCAGGTTAGAAAATTAACCTACAAACATCTGTAGCCTTTCTTTATACCAAAAACAAGCAATCACAGAAAGAGCACATGGAAACACACATTCACAATAGCTATAAAAAAAAAAATCTCAGAATAAACCTGACCAAAGACATTAAAGAGCTCTACAATGAAAATTTTAAATCTTTAAAGAAAGAAATTGAGGAAGACATCAGAAGATGGAAAGACCTCCCATGCTCATGGATTGGAAGAATTAATATTGTGAAAATGACCATCCTACCAAGAGTTATATATAGATTCAATGCAATGCCAATCTAAATCCCCAGGATATTTTTCACAGAATTGGAAAAAACTATCCTAAGATTCATATAGAAGCACAAAAGAACTTGGATAGCCAAAACAACCCTGAGCACTAAAAGCAATGACGGGGGGATTACCATACCAGATTTCAAGCTGTATTTCCGAGCTATAGTCACTAAAAACGACATGGTACTGGCACAAAAATAGACCCATAGACCAATGATTGAAGACCGAAATATGAGTACATGCAATTTCAGCCACCTGATATTTGACAAAGGAGCCAAGAACATTCACTGGTGGAAAGACAGCATGTTCAGCAAATGGTGCTGGCAAAACTGGATCTCTTCCTGTAGAAGAATGAAACTAAACCCCTATCTTTCACATTGCACAAAAGTCAACTCCAAATGGATCAAAGACCTCAATGTGAAGCCTGAAACTCAAACTGTTAGAAGAAAACATTGGGAAAAACCTACAAGATATAGGCATGGGAAAGGATTTTCAAAACTGGACATCAATTGCTCAGGAAACAAGGGCAAGAATTAACAAATGGGACCTCATTAAACTAAAAAGCTTCTGTACATCAAAGGAGACAAACAAGGGAGCAAACAGAAAACA